ATAAATATATATATATTTCCATAGCCTGGTTTTTATGGAATTCTTCAGCAATTCAGCTGGAAGCAGCTTATTAGCCCAGATGCCTTCATTAAATGTTTTACAGTTTCTCTCATGTGACATGTTTTCAAATGACTTAGTATTCTAGAAACATATTATTGTTATCGAGCCCTTCAGCCTGCCCTCTCCTCCACTGCTCCCCATTACCCTACGGGTATAACATATGTCAAAGTCACATATCATTGTCGAAACTAATAAGTCACTATTGACCTTAAAAAGAAGTGGAAACAAAGAATGAATAAATTGTACATGATGTTTCTGGATAGATAAATTAATATTGTAATTTTATATGAAAACTCGAAATGTGTGAAATTATTAACAGCTTTAAGAATTTAGTGATAAATACATATAATATATTTAAAACACATTACATAAATAGGTACAGATGTAGAACTACATATTACATAAATATGATTAGTAGAAAATAAGATGTTATAAGGAATTGGAGTCACAAATAATTTTTCTGTTATAGACTTTCAAAGGTCTCATGAAAAGGATTTGACTTTTTCTGGATCCATACACCAGATTTACATGCTTTAAAACCCGTTTTTTTGTTTGTTTGTTTGTTTGTTTGTTTTAAATAGCATTTGAAGATACTCTTTATTCAGAAAAGCAGAGGAAAATAGTACACACCATTTTTCCTTTTAAAAGTAAGGGAGGTTAAAAATTAAGTTAGAAAGCAGAAGTAGTAAACATATTTGAAATCTCTTCATTCCCATATTTTGGTTCGTGCCTTCTGTGGTCACAGATGCGCTTGTTTCACCAGCCGGTTAGTCTGGCCTTATTCCATAGCGACAGATAACACTCAGCTCCGGCCAGATGTGCCAAAAATGCCCACCCTGGGTTGATTACAGAGGAGTTCTGATGAGAGGGTAAGGCTGAACTGGTGCAAATTCAACAACACTCTAAGGAAAAGACATTCTAAAGAAAAAGAGGGAAGGTAGATGACTTGCATATGTGTGTTTTGGTCTTACAAAAAGTGTATTAAAACATTTGCAAATTAAGGGCTCTGTTATGTGAAAGTCAGCTTCCTGCTTCAAAACGATTTAATTAGTTTCTCACCTTCAAATGATTTCTTCTAAGTCGTTTTGAGTTGATCATATATCCTAAGTATGTAAATCTAAATGATTTAAAAAATCAGCGTAAAACTTTTTGAAATAATTGAAGGGATAATATGGACCTATGATTTTCTGATAGCAGAAAATATAGTAATTCTCATCCCTTCCATAATTGGAGATTTTATGGGCTAACTTTCATCAGAAATTTAAATTTCAGTACAAGCTATTTTGGTCCCATTTCATTAAATCATTTTAATCAAAGAGAAAAGTTACATGATTTGTGAGTATAGGTCTCTGACAGTGCCTTCCTTACAAGGATCCAAGGGATCTTATACATCATCCTCATGGTCACTGAGAGAAAAAAGAATTCAATTTAAAAGGTAATTGAGGTGGCCTTTTGTGTCACCAGACTCTTCCTGATAATTCACCTCCAACTAAAATAACAGAGGATGCCATCTGTCCTCATGACAGAATCAGGATCAGCCATAGGAAGCCTGGATGGGTTAGGACTTGTTCTCAGAGTCCTGACTACAGTTTTTTAAGCAAGTCTGCGAAACGTGGAGATCAGCAGTCGCTGATCCCCAGGGCTCCAGGCCCCCTCCATCTTTGCTCTGCTGACCCCGGTTTCCATGGTTGCTGAGACACAGCCTTCACTTGAAAAGCAAGTCAAAAGGAGGAGTTGCCCCCAAACCCCATACAACCTTTTTGTTCACAGATACACTCCCTCCCTCCACGTGTCTAGAATGCTGGGCAAATTGCCTTCCGAATAATATTAGGGTTCTGTTACCAAAAAAGAGGGGGAAATTGATCGGGTAAGCATTGCACGGCCCCTGCCCTGAGCCCTGTCATTTCCTGCCACCACAGGCAAATGGCTGCTTTTAGATGGAAGAGTTTGTGGGTTGGGACATAGCTCTACAGAATTTTTCCTCTTTTTTTCTGGCTTAGTAAATTAGCAACTCTAAGCCTCATTTGCTACTGTTAGAAAAATGATATAACACACACCATAAATGTGAATGAAAAAAACTAAACAAAAAATTTTTTTCTAACAAATATTCTCTCCTAGGTTACAGATTCTCAGCTTTTACCAGGACAGAGGTTTCAAACTAAAGGTATGTTTTCATAGCAAGATGGTGGCTTCTTTTCTTTACTGTTAGAGAATCTAACAAAAGTAGTTTTCCTGGGTGTTTTAATTTATTTTCTTATTGTGGAAAAATACACATAACATGAAATTTATCATTTTAACCATTTTTAAGTGTACAGTTCAAGGGCATTAAGTACATTCACATTTGTTGTGTAGTCATCACCACCATCCATCCCCAGAACTTCTTCATCAATCCAAACTGAAGCTCTGTTGCCATTAAACACTCCCACCTCTGCTCCTCCCGGGGCCTGGCAGCCACCACTCTGCTTTCTGTCGCTATGAGTTTGATCCTCTATGTACCTCATATGAGTGGAATCATACAACATTTGTCCTTTTGTGACTGGCTAATTTCACCCGGCATAATTTCTTCAATGTTTATCTATATCGTAGCCAGTGTCAGAATCTACTTCCTTTTTAAGGCTGAATAATATTCTCTTGTATGTATAGACCACATTTTGTTTTTCCCTTCATTTGTCACTGGACATGTGTTTCCTCCTTTTAGCTATTATGAATAATGCTGCTATGAACATGGGTGTTTCATTTCTTAACCAGAGAGTTGGAATTACAGTTGTAGGCCTGTATTTGAGATGACAAGTACTGCTTACAGTGTGTACTTGTCACAGCTTGTACTTACTGTAGACTTTCTAGGCCCTGAGCCCTCTAGGAAGGAAACACATGCTGTCATCCCAGTGGCCCTTCTCAGTGCCATCTCCTCCTTTGTGCCCAGCGAGGGCTTGTTTCAGTGTTTCTGCTGAGGGATCTTACAGCTCCCTGCTTGGTTCTCCTTCTTTAGATCCAGAGGAGCAAGGAGACATTGTGGTGGCCTTGTACCCCTATGATGGCATCCACCCGGATGACCTGTCTTTCAGGAAAGGAGAGAAGATGAAAGTCCTGGAGGAGTAAGTGCATACAGGTGCTCCGCGCCTGCAGCCCTTTACCCAGGCTGCTGGGTCCCATAGACCACCCCGCAGACCACCCCACAGACCACCCCGCAGACTACCCCGCAGACCGTCCCGCAGACCATCCTGCTCGTTCTGCTCCCAGCAGCATGGCAGTAGCAACGACCCGTCTTGGGGGCCTGAGGCCTCCCAGCCTCCTTGCAGTAGCCCAGATGGGGGTGGAGGCATAAGGCCAAAGGAATCTTCCTCTGAAGTCTGCCTATGAATACTCTGCAGGAAGTTTCCCTTCGAAGACAGACACCATTTCTTTTTTATCCATCTGTGCCACTTTAAGAAGTTTGGATGTGTGTGTGAAATTTGCCTGTTATTTTAATGCCATTTTTATTTAGTTATATTACTCAAGTTCAGAGTGAGTTTATGGGTCCAAATGGTTTGTTTGGTTTATAAGGGCGCTGTGCCTGAGCAGCGGTCATCTTGGAAAAGCCTCTACTTAGCAATGTGGACTTCTGTGAAGACACTCGGACACCATCTATTCCTTGACCCCCGTCCATGCTGACTTACAGACCTGTAACCTATTCAGCCTACAGGAGTTCAGAACAGTATTGAGAATAAGGAACTCCAAGAGTCTTCATTCTCGCCTGCTTTTCCTGCTAATCTTGCACACCCTGTCGCCCTGGCTTGCCAACCAGAGTTAGAGGAGGGACACCTCAGTTAAGGTGTTAAGTGGTTCAAAGCAGTTATCACTTACTGATTGAACATGAGCTTGGGCCTAATTCCTGGCCCTGCCTCTTATAGCTGTGTGACCTTGACAAATCACTTTAGTATTATACCTTAGTATAGCAGTGCTTCCCTTATAAAATGGGAATGACGGTGCCTCTGTCATGTATTGATGTGAAGATTACGTGTGTGCACGTGTGTGTGGATAAATATAGTGGAGGCATATAGTTAGTGCCAGTTGTAGTTGTCCTTTGTGTCTTGGAGACAAGGATCCCACCTGCATGTGAGAATTCGAAGGGGAACATAACTGAAGCTCATAGGGACTCATCCATTCCTCCCTCGTTCACTGCCCCAGCCTCCTCCTTGGCATAAAGCCAAGGACAAGAAGGACGAGACCTACCTGCTTGGAATCATTTTATGATTTTCTACTTCTTTTTTTCATAGCGTCCATCTTGATATTTGGAAACTAAATGTTTTAACCAAAGAGCTTACAGCATAGGAACTATGGCTCATTATTCCCTTGACTTCTATTCCTATAAGAATCCTAAAGCATATCCTGGGGGAAATTAGAAACATTTTGCAGAATGAGAACCATTTTCACCAACTCGTGTCTGTGCAGCACTGGGCACAGTGACCCGCACTTCAGTTGAGAGGCTGTTTTTCTTTACTTCAGTCTTTAAACATATTTTTATTTCAGCAAGAGGAGTGAATTTTCCCACTGGATTCTGAGGTTCCGGGCATCTTTCCCACCCTCTCTTGCCCCCCAAAACAAATACCTGCAGACAGCTGCTATTGTAGATTTTGAGTCATTGGACACAAACAGTTTTGCTGTGTGTTTCTGTTCCAGGCACGGAGAATGGTGGAAAGCTAAATCCCTCTCAACGAAGAGAGAAGGCTTCATCCCCAGCAATTACGTAGCCAAAGTCAACACCTTGGAGACGGAAGAGTGAGTCCTTACGTGTTGTCATCTTCCATGGTTCTGTTTGTCGCAGTGGGTTTCTTGTTTACTCTTTACCTTTTTCCCTTCCCTGAAGCATAACACCATGCACTGTTAAAATGTCTTCTCAGGTGGTTTTTCAAGGATATAACCAGGAAAGATGCAGAAAGGCAGCTTCTGGCACCAGGGAACAGTGCTGGAGCATTTCTTATCAGAGAAAGTGAAACATTAAAAGGTAAGTGGCTTAAGGCTTCTTATAAAATGCTATTTAAGAAATCATTCTTAGAGACTATTCTAGAATTCTTTTCAAAAAGAATATATTATTTTCTGGTAGTGAAAGTTTTATAGTTTGATAACAAATAACAAACCAAAATCATTAGTTTGCTACTAAAAGTAACAGAAAGCAGACAAATTATAGCCATTTCTCATCACACATTATATTTACGGAGTCCCTTACATTTTTATTTAGAGTAAATCTTAAAATTTTAAGAGCAAGAAAATCAAAATAACTTTAATTCAGTGAAATATTTTAAAAACTATCAAAAAAATAAGGAAAATGGCTTGGTAAATTTCACAGCAAAGAAAATGCTAGCTTCTTTTAGCAAGCGACATTTTATAGGACTTTTAAAACTATGTACTGGATACATACTTAATTTATGTTTTGCATACTTTTATGGCAAAATGTATACTACGGTATTGTATAGTGCAGATCTTATTTATAAGACGTAGGTCTAATCTTTGCTTGTACTTTCCCCCCACAGGAAGCTACTCTCTGTCTGTCAGAGATTATGACCCTGTGCATGGCGATGTCATTAAGCACTACAAAATTAGAAGTCTGGACAATGGAGGTTATTACATCTCTCCGAGAATCACTTTTCCTTGCATCAGTGACATGATTAAGCATTATCAAAGTAAGTAAAATCTGAAGATTGGACAAGGCAAAATATGTTTATTATGGAAATATATGGTGTCAAACACTTTTATATTAAAATTTTTTATGCATCATATTTCTTTTGGACAAAGGTGGAGGATCATCTTCTATAATTGATTCTGAATTATCTATAATTAAATATACATTCAAAGTCAGAGTTGATCTTTGTGAATAATTATTCCAGTCCTGCGCACCTGGCTCCTGCTGTTTGACAGTTGATGTTTCAGAATTATAAAGAGAAAACTGAATAGTATTTTCACATAGTGCATATTTTTGCAACACCAAAATATTTAGAAGTGGCAAGTCATTGGTCCTACATCACCAATGCCACTTTCCAGCCCTGTCAAGCTGAACTCGTGACCAGCTTTGGGTTCATTCCCGGCGTGATTGAAGGCAGTCGTGGGCGGCTGTTATTACTGCTTATTTCTACAACCTGCTCGAAGGGAACACATATTATAGGTTTGGTCAGGGCTCAAAATATGGAGAGAACAAGGTACCCCAGATTTTGTGGAATCCTCCTCCTTCTCTGTCATCCCCATTCACTTATTCATTTGGCATGTGTGTGAGTGCTCGCCATACCCTGGCCCTGTTTGGGGGCTGGGGCTCCTCTGGTGACATGACCAAGTCCCTGCCACTCTGCCCTGAGCTTACGTGGGCTCAGCAATCTGAAATAACGTTTTAAGTGTGACAGCCTGTCAGCCTTTATCTGTTTATGTTATTTTTGTTTGTTCGTTTTACTAGATTAACAGTACTACTGCATAAAATCAAGTATGTTTTAAATTGTTTTCCATTTAAGAGCTTCAAAAGTCATAACTGTAAAAAAGATACCCTCGTAAGCATTTTAGGTTCGTAAGTATGGCAAGCTGGAAAAAAAGACTAATAGTAAAAAAAGACTAATAGTTGAAACCTCTCTAGAGATACTGGTAAAATATAAAGTGTGACATTTTTAACCTTCGTTTTCTATTTCAAATCAGAGCAGTCAGATGGCTTGTGCAGAAGACTGGAGAAGGCATGCATTAGTCCCAAACCACAGAAGCCATGGGACAAAGATGCCTGGGAGATCTCACGGGAGTCCATTAAGTTGGTGAAGAGGCTTGGCGCTGGACAGTTTGGAGAAGTCTGGATGGGTGAGTGTGTCGCTCTGGAGCCAGAGTCCACTCTGGCGGTGACAGCTGGGAAAATAAGGGCTCGAGCCAATTTCTACCAATTTTCTCAGCCAAACACTAAATGGTGTCAGAAGCATCATTTTTTTTTTTTCTGTTTTTCTCTGTCTCCTTGGCACCGAGAACTGGCCTGAAAAATTATTTGACTAGACTATTCCTCTTCCTTGTGACTTGGTAATTCTTTTTTAAGGCAGAAGGCAGCGGGTATTTATCCTGATTGTCCTGTCTACTCTTTTATGATTCTTTCATCACCAGAGTCTCTGGACACACATTTTAAGTATCTTCTGTCTCAGGGCAAGTCCTTGCGCATGGGCTTCAGGAAGCCTCACATTTATTATAATTTCTCACCAAGAAAGCTTCATTAATGAACCATTCCTTAATATTAAGTACTTCTCAGGCTGGCAGAATCATAGCAGTGGCTTTCTCCAGGGAATTTCTTTAGGCCCTCTGTCTTTTCTAAAATTTGTGTGGTGAATGTGAATTTCTTTTGTGATAAGAATACCCCCTTCTTCCTTAAAGCATTATATATTCTTCATGGTTCTCATTGAAAACTCACTTACTTCTGGAAAGGATGACATATTAGGTCGTGCACATCTTACCGGATCACTCTTACTGTGCCAGCTTTGTGTACGTGAAAGCAAACATGATTTCTAAAGGAAAAAAAGGGGTGGACGGCTTTTAAAAACTGCCCAGCCCCAGCCAAACAGAAACGAAAGCCTCTTCTGGCCTGCTGCAGCCATGTGGTCATTTTACTTCCTCATCCAGGGGTCTGGGAGGGAGAGGTTTTCCTCTAGAACCTTGGCCCCCGAGATCCCAGCTTTGCCCACTTTTTCCTGATGATCCTAATTTAGCTAGAATGTCTTTTAAATGTGGCCGATATTCACCCAGCATGTAATTAATTCTTACTGTGCTGTTTAAGTCTTTAAGAACATATTTACAGAATTCAGGTAAATTATAATTACACACCTCGCATCTTTCATTTGGTTGCCACATTTCCGAACCGGTGGGCAGCGCGCATAAGGCACTTTTTCCATTCCGGTCAGCAGATTCTTGGGCGTGAGCGCTCGCTCGCTCTAGGTGTGGCCTCGCATTCACTCTGTTGCCTAAATCATAATATTATCCTCCTCCTTTCTCTGTCTGCTCTTTTCTTTTCTATTGGGGTAAAATTCATGTACTATAAAATCAATCATTTTAAAATGAACAATTCAGTGACATTGACTACATTCAAATTGTCGTGCAACCACCACCTCTGTCTGGTCCCAAAATGTTTTCAGCAGCCCCTAACGGAAACAGTGTACCCCTTAACAGCCCGCCCCGTCCCCTCCTCCTCCAGCCCCTGGCAGCCACCTTTCTGCCTTCCGTCCCTGCACATTTGACTGTTCTGAGTACCTCGTATAAGTGGAATTGTGTAGTGTCAGTCCTTTTCACTTAGCATAGTGTCTTCACAGTTCGTCCATGTCATACCGTGTCTGTCTTGGAACTTCATTCTGATTTAAGGCCGAATGACATTTCATTGTGTGAATAACATTTCATTATGCCACAGTTTGTTTATCCGTTTTTGTGTTGGCGAATGTTCGGGCTGTTTCCACCTTTTGGCTATTATGAGTAACGCTGCTATGAACAGTCACGTACGATTTACTGTGTGGACAAATGTTTTCATTTCTCTGGGGTATATACATTCTTTTAGGAGTGAAATTGCTGGGCCATATGATAATTCTACATTTAACTTTTTTGAGGAACCATCCAGCTTGTTTAAAAAAAAAAAATGTTGCCTTCTTTTCTTTCCCCACTGAGGTATTTGTATTTACTTCTTAATACTTTCCCGCCCCCCCCCCAAATCCGCAGAATGGGGGCAGAAATCGTATAATAAACATTGAATATCCTTCACCTAGATTCACCAATTAATATTTTGCTACATTTTCTTTATCTTTTTTATATATTACACGCACACACATGTATATTTTATTGTTGTTGTTGAACCACACGAGAGTAAGTTGCAGACATGATGTCGCTTCACCCCTAAATATTTAAGCATGTGTCTCCTCAGAGCACGGCCGTTATCTTACACAATACAGTGATTACATTCAGGAAACTTAACATTTTGATACATACTATTATTTAATATAGAGTCTGTATTCGAATTTCCCCAATTGTCCCAATAATGTCCTTGTAGCTATCTGGGATCGCGTATTTGCTTTTAGTTGACATAGCTTTAGTCTTCTTTACTCTGGAGCAGTCCTTCAGCCCATCTTCATTTTTTATGACACCGACGTTTGGTACAACACAGGTCAGTTGTTTTGTAAAATACCCTCATTTGGGTTTTTGGGTTTTTTTTTTAATGTTTACTCTGATTTGGCTTGGGTTATGCCCTCGTGCATGAATAATGCTAAGTGATGCTGTGTCCTCAGTGCGTCTGTCAGGAGGCACAGAATATTAGTTGGTGACTTTTTTTTTTTAATTTTAAGGAGGTTCTCCATCGTAAATGTTACTTTTTAATTCCCTTTTATAATGAAATAAAAACTGTGAGGAGAGTTTTTAAGATTGTGTAACTATCCTGTGCTCCAAAAGAACTTCCCTCAAGTGGTTTCAGCATTATTTGCTCATTTTGAATTCTCTTCCCTCTTAGAAGCCATAACTTCTCTAAAAAGCTGCAGCCCGTCCCTGCCCTCCCACACTCCCCTGACCATGCCTCCTCCAACGCCACTGGCTCGCTTCGGCAAGCAGGAACCGTGCCTTCTCTCCCGGGCCTCCCCTACCCAGTCTTCTCTCTTCATCGAGAGTATTGGCAGGAAAATATGTGTTCACAATTATATTTAATTGCCCTGTAGGTCTCTGAGTCCCAAGGAATGCGCCTTCCTCTTGGTATTTACCTTGACTTTGAGTGGAGAGGAGATGATAAGAAGTAGAGGAGTAGGAGAGAAAAGAATGTCTCAGCCATACAGCATCCAACACCCCCTTCTAAGTACATTTTCGTCGATTATCTCTTGTGCTCATCGCGGTGTCACTGTCAGATAAGAATTATTGTCATCATTTGATAAATGAGGACATTGAGAACCAGAGAAACAGCTTACCCAAAGTCATTCGAGGCAGTGAGGAAGCTGGCTGCTCTAGACCTGGACTTGCTTACTAAGCTCTCTACAAGTTAATTTGACTCCCTACCCCAGTTTCCTGGTAAAATGGGCAGACAACTCTCACCAGCTGCAGAAAGGAAGAATGGAATTATGTAGCTGAAGTCTTTCCTATAGAGTCTGTCTCTGTGCACTCTATTTTTATTATTTCCATTTTACTGTGTTTGACTAGAGGCTCTGGAAGCTATATTTCAATAGACTTTCCCTAATTTTAATCATGAATGCAAACTATAAACAATCCAGTTAGACCTTCCTGTGGATATTTGCCCCAAAGGAATTACTTATATGTCATGAAGAGAAAAGTAGAGGGAACTTAACTGGGTGTACTTGTCTGCTTTAAAACAGTAGCCCTGCGTATGAAGTGATGGTTTGGAGTTGTGTGCCGAACTCTTTCTGCTCAGCTGTGAAACCATGATAAAGGCATCGAATTGCATGCTCTTTGCACCCAAGAGACGAGAGATAAGATCTGCTGGTCTGGGGAGTTATCACTTTGAGGGGGAAGAGATTGTGTTCTCTTAAAATTTGCTTGAGGGCTACTAGCAAGTAGAATGGTAACCTCTTTACCAGCTGCATGATGGTGGTGCTCACAGGTGCCATTTGCCAGCCAACTCGTCCATGCCGAAACACTGATGAGCTGGTGCTAAGTTAAGAGCAAGGTAGCAGCTGAGGCGTGCTCGGGCGTGGGGAAGACACGACTGAATAGATCTGCTCACAGCACAGGTCGGTCATGAGTAGCTAAAGCCTGTGCTGAAATTGTCACCTGGAGCTCCAGCACACTGATTCTTTCTGGGATTGGAAAACTTCTTTGCTTCCAGTTTTAGATACACCAGTCCTCCTGCCCATTTCTCACTCTTTGGCTTTCACCTGGCCACGTGGTAAAGGTTCACACTGATTTTAGGACTTTTATTTAGCATGTACCCAGGTGGTGCCTGGGAGAAGCTGAGATTTAGAAGAGAGGAGAATGGGGCATTAGAAAATACGTAATCGTTTTCTCCAGAATGTTACTTTTTATTTAAACTGTTTGAAAGAGGGCAAACATCTTATGAAAATTTATTATTTGAATAGATTTGCTAATAACTTTCTGCGTGTGTGGTAAATACACATAATATAAAATTTACCATCTTAATCTTGTGGAACTGGGACTTTGTATACTCTTTTGGCAACAGCTCCCCTTCCTCCCATTTCCCCAGCCCCTGTCAACCTCCATTCTACATTCCCATCAGCAGTGCGTAAAGGTTCCAGTTTTTCCACATCCTCACCAACACTTGTTATTTTCTGGTGGGTTTGTTTTTGTTTTTGTTTTATAATATGAGTGTGAGGTGGTGTCTCATTGTGGTTTTGATTTGCATTTCCTTAATGATTAGTGATGCTGAACATCTTTTCATGTGTTTATTGCCCATCTGTGCATATTCTTTGCAGAAATGTCTATTCAAGTCCATTGCTCATTTTTTAATTGGGCTACTTGTTTGATTTGCTAATAATGTTTTAAAAGAGAGAGGCAGCAGAGCCTTGTCTAAAATGGGGTTATAATAGAATCCAGCTTGTAGGAATGGTGTAAGGATCGAATGAGATGGTGCAAGTAAGCATTCGGCCCAGTCAACAGCATTCAGGGAATCCTTGTTATTACTAAATATTTCATTTTATTATAAATAAAGTATGGTAACATTAGAGCAAAGGTCATGAAACAGAGGGGAGAAATTACCCAGGATTTCCTCACTCAATGCAAGTTGTTTCTTGTTTTTTTAAATTAATCTTTTTATTTCGAAATATAAATTCAGACACAATTATAAGAAATAATATAGAAATATAAACACATGTCCACACACACACTTTTAC